TTGGGAACTGAACATTCAATGCTCTTGACCTCATTTTCATTATCTATAAGTCCTTGATTCTTTTGGAATACATAATTACGCAGATGCAAGGAACTTGTATGATAGTAGATTACTGCATAGAATATATACAGTAGCACCGAATAGAAGTAAACACAAGTAAGTTCACTCTCCGCCATATTAGGGTCAAGATTCCCCACCTCGAATTTTATGTTCAGCCAACCTACAGCGCAACCGACTGAATGTGATGGGTTTACCAAGCGAGCCAAGTTGAGGCATGGAATATTATTACAGAGTGAGTCGTAAGTGGTGGTTTTGTATTCGTGAAAAATTCGTGTCTAGTTTCAAAATGAACAAGTGTCGAGCTGTGGGTTGCTGTAATTTGCACGGTGATGTCGGAGTTAATTTTTTTCGATTTCCAACTGACGAAAAAAGGTATGTTTTTCTAGTATTTATTATGTAAGATTATATTATGAACATATAACGAAAATCATAACATAAATTTTCATAGACCAGACTTTTTTTTAATGAAATTAATTCGATAAAATTGAACTTTACCAATAGTATAGGCCCCACAAGTAATGATATAAAATAATAAAACAATCGAAGTTCCACTGGAAATCCATAAAGGAAAATAATTGTTGAAACACATTTTTTGATTTGTCTAGTTATTACTTCCACTGAAATCTCTGCAAAACCAAAATAACAAATGTATATTCAAATATCCTTTTTTGGAGCCTACTGTTGCATACGTTTTTACCAATTCATCCACATCAATACTGGATATAAAAAGTATTCTGATTGAAGCTGTTAGGCAATTATCAAAAATTGGATTAAGAGTTTGGGGTATCATTTCAGATTTAGGTTTTAATTTTTATACACTTGCCAGAAAAGATGTCGAAGTGACTGTAGAGCAGCCATATTTCTTTGTTGATGAGAAAAAAATATTTTACTTTTTTTATACTCCTTATCTGCTGAAATGTAGCAGAAACCATTTTTTCGAGGACTTTTTGAAATTTGATGAATTTTGCCTGTTGTAACAAAAGTCATCTTGTACAACTTTGGAAAAGCAATATAGACTAGCACCCAAACTTACTGATTCTCATTCATTTTCAACTAACTTTCAAAGGATGGAGGTTAAATTAACCAGTCAAGTTTTCAGTCATTCGGTAGCTACAGCGATAAATACTTATGCCAGTTTCAATCAGATACCATCAGCAGCAATAGGGACGGCTACATTCATTGAAAAAATGGATAGTGTTTGATATTTTGAATTAAAATCGATTTGACGATGTCAAACATTTCAATAAACCTGTTTTAGAACATCAAAACAAATAGATTTTCTGAAAGAAATGAAAATATTTTTCCGAAAACTAACTGTAATATCAAAAAAAAAAGAAAAAACACGACTGGACAAATGAGATTCATTGAGGTGTGGCAGATAACAATTTCGGCATTTCTGCAACTTTGAGGAAACTTACGTAGTGAAGGACACTCCTACATATTGACGAGAAATATAAGTCAGGACTGTGTGGAAAATTATTTTGGTCAACAGAGAAATAGTTGTGGAAATGCCAGAAACCCAACTCCTGTTCAAATTACCAGAGCTTTCAAAAATACATTTATTCTTCAGTATTTCACACAGGCAGAAGGAACTAACTGTCTAGAAGATACTAGTGAGATTCTAATATTAGATGCTGACATAAATAGAGTGAAGATTCTTGTGGAAGTTCCAAAAAATCCCTATAAGAGTAGAGACAAATGATTATAGAACACTAGCCATTCCCGAAAGCAACATCTTGGGCTATGTTTGTGGATACCTTTTGGGATAATGATTAGGAAAACATTCATGTAAAGTATGTACAAATTTTGGGTAAGAATTTATTATACTTGGAAATTTGTCAATAGAAATTTGAAAAAAAATGTTAAAAAAAATCAAAAACTCAACATTCTGAAAAACCTTTAGAATAGATTAGCATACATTTTTGACCTGAATTGTATAATTTTACTTCACAAAATATACGTTTATCTCATCACCTTGTCATAACATACCTAACAATCAGCATGGACACTCTACGATGCCGCCTTTGATCTCAAAAAGTATGAAGACGCCATCTTGAAAAGCGGATTACTCAGGGGCAGACTTGCGACATGGTGTCTATAACAGAGGCGTACTGGAAATTTTATTTTGTCATAATTCATGAAATTGAACTTTTTTTTCAAGACTTCATCTAATAAAATAAGGTTTGTCATTTGATTTTTGCTATTTTATTTACCATAATGAATAATTCACCCTAATTCACCATAATAAATAATATATTGATACGATACTATTTGTAATTCTTTCAAATAATATAAGAAGTGATAGGGTTTCACAATTAGATTTGGCTGGCACAAAATGTGGGGATCACTTTACAGAAAACATCATCTCGTTTGGTTTGTTGCAACCCACACAGAAATTTTCCTCTATTCATACATTAAGAACCGTAGATGTGACTGGAACCTTTGGTGTTAAAGAAAAAACATTCGAATGGAGCCCAATTTCTTAAACTCCAAACATGTTTGTACTTGTCGTACGTTTTCACTATCCAAGTTAGCATCTTCAGAAGAGAAATTGATATTAAACATCAATTGATAAGATGCTAATTTGGTTACTGAAACGTGCATCGAGTACGAATATGGTGTATGGGAAATTGAGCTCTAATCAAAAGGTTTCATTAAGGGGCGAATATAGTCTGGTATGATCCTCAACTAAAGATTATCTTATTTTTGTCAGCATACCTCATTTGTTGAATATCACCATCCAATTGTTACAAAATTCTGCACCACTTCTATCAATAATAGCAGCTTTGTTCCATAATACTTCAGTGTGGAACAGGGTAGAAATTGAAAAAAAAGTCAATCATAAAAATCAGAAACGCAATAAAATGTTTTCTCTATCAAATATTGTTTGAATTTGTTCTTGAGCTCGTATTTGGAGTCGTGTAAATTCCAAATATGATCAAATTCAGTTTGAAATTATGTATGAACTCACTTGAATAGAAAAATTAACAAGCGACTCACAAACGTTAGTAACTGAAACTCTCAAATAAAAATGCAGTTGATTGTAAAAAAAGTATTAGTGGTACCTACACACAAACATACGTGCATGCATGTATGTATGTGTATTTATAGTAACTTTCACAGATAAGTAATTTGTTCAGTCTGTTTTTAAGGTGATTGAGAAAGTGTTTGTCCTCAAAATGCCCTTCACAAATTCTGTAGTTATGCAGATTCCCAGCTTTTTCTCTCAAATCATCACAACCACATGCCACTGTCCAAAGGATAGCCCTAAAAAAATTTGTTGGCTTTTAGCAATTTTGAAGAATACCCAATAACAAGTGAATGCTTGTCTTCTCAATTTTCGTTGAATGTATCCAACATAAAATGTTTCATAGTTAAGTGATCACATAATATAGGGAAATGCTAAGATTCTACCTAACGATTATGAAAGATTTCAGGAATCCATTTTTTAGGATTTCTCTACCCTGAAAATGAAAAAACTTGAGTTCTTATCAAATCTGTAGTTGTAATTAAATTGAAAATATTTCAAAAAAGGCTTGAAAAAGGCAGCAGAGTAATTTCCGAAATGTTGGCAAGGGGAAGGATTGCAATATTGCAGTTATGTATGCAGGCAAACATTCCAATTTGCCCTAAACAGATACTCTAACAATTCCAAGATTTTTCCAGGGAAGAGAAAAGACAGAAAATGGATTTCAAGCCATTCCTACCTCCTCAAGATACATTCAAATAATATTTATGAAAGAGTTTGACTCCCCTATCAATATCTTTTGGAAACGTAAATAAACTCTTTAGTCTTTAACCTGCTGCTTCTACATTTCACTACAGCACACATATGACCACCTTTTTTCTGTTTATCCGCGTATATGCGCGTACTTTTCCCGCCCAAGGGAGTGTCCGTGCTGGTTAGGTATGCTGTGACCTTCTTATCAATTCCTAAACAGTTCATAATCATATGAGATATTTTTTGTGAGCTCCTCATAGCAATGATCAAGTCAGATCATGGTGACATATTTTTTGATCGAATCCCGTGCAGAGATGAACGATAGCTCTCAGCCTACACCCTCCTGCCCCGCCATATGCCAGCAAAAAATAAAATCTTGACCCGAAACACCATAGACGCCGACCGGGAGTGAATTTACTTGTGTTTACTTCTATAAGGTGACAGTAGTGCCTATTACTGGAGTTTTATCCCAACACCAACACGTGTTTCAATCACCAACTGATCATCTTCAAGAGAAAGATTAAACTGAAGAAGTTTAATCTTCCTCTTGAAGATGATCACCTGGTGATTGAAACACCTGTCGATGTGTTGAAAATAACGGTTTGGTGTTGGGATAGAACTCCAGTAATATTCATTACTAAACCAAAGGTTCAAAACAGTGCATCACTATACTATATGTTTAAAATATGTTTTTCCGTTAATCAGCTGTCGCCCCCATACGAACGACAACTCTCAGAAGTTTCTCAACTTCTTCGTATGGGGGCNCCTAACACGGTTGTTGAATCATTCCAGCTTCAACCAGATAAATTCTCTCGAGAAAAATATCTGGTCGAGGCGGGAATCGAACCCACGGTCTTCCGATCGTGGGTCGGGCACACTACCACCGCGGCCAATTACAATAGATTAATAAACTTTTCCACGGTGAAACAACAAGTCTAATTTTAGACCCAATAAATTCTCTATTATGATGGTACTTCAAACTGCTTCACTCAGATTTGCACATCATACTTTCAATCATGTTGCTTAAAACATTATCTCAGCAGGCTATGTTCAGATACGTTAATTTCTTTTCAAATTATTGTGATATTGTCAGCTTATTGAGTTTCAGTGCAGTTGTATTTTTATCAGTAGATATGTTTTATCAAATCTGGGTCACAGCTATTCGAAAGAACTCTTGACATAGTATTTTTTTATTGAAAAATATGAAAACCGAAATAAATTTTTCCTTCATATTTCCTTCATATTTCGATTTTTTATAATTTTATACTGTGGGGGACTGATGTAAGATAAAATTGCTGCAGATGGAGTACACTTTTTGCCTAAAACTTAACTGTACATTATCATCTAAAATGAAAACTTCTCAATTCAAGCTTTAGCCAGAAGAGCCAAGTCAGCAATACACTTGTTGATGTTTTGTTTCTCCTGATCCGGAGTGATGGAAGCCTTCACTCTGGCCACGACCCAGTCCACAAGGTTCCTTTGAGTCACTCTGCGTTCAATGTTCTGCTTCTCGACCTGATAATCGAGACGCTTCTTAACTTCCTTGTAAGCTGATAGGAGCCTTTCACGATAGGTTGCCTCCAATTGAAGACCTACGTTTTCACGTTTGGCTTCCATCAACATGACCTGCCCATCCATACTCCATTGCGCTTTTTCTTCGTCGGTGATTTGTTCCGCAAGGACTCGTTTCTGCTCGTCTCTGCTGCTGTTCCATGCCGCTTCATAATTCTGTAACGAAAAGTAATTGTTTAATATTCGGAAATATTTTCACGCGGAGTTTTCAAATTCTTTGACATACATGTAAAAGCATATGCTACTTTTTCATTATCGATTTTATTATTGATTTTTAAGAATATTTTATTCTTAGAAAAAATCGCATATAAAATTCGGGGCATAACCTTTATTAAACAATTGCGAAAATGATCATCATTCTCGATTGCATAGCGAAATGTGTCGCGGTTTTTGAAAAAGCCTAGTGAAAACTTTAGAGTACAGGGTAAGTCAACAAGATTCCAACATTGCTCTCAGAGGAAACGATTTTTTAAACTGCTCGATTTTTTGCAGTCATATCGATAAATATTATCTTTAAAAATTATTTTCTCGCATACTGCGTGGCCGACCAAAGTTATATTTTTTCAAATAGAAAACCCGGTATATGAATACGTTATTCGATTCTATATTTTTTTAGGCTCTCTAAGGAATATTTGTTTTCGAATTTCCATTGCGGCATTGCCAAGTTATTCCAAAAAAAAACCAATTTTGGAGACGATATTATTTAATTCACCACNAGAGTGTATCACTAAAAAATATTCTAGTAAATCGTTTTAGTGTTTCTTGATAATATTTGTTATTTGTGTATAAAACAGGCAGTATTATAGTATAGCAGTGCTTTTTGATAATATTTTTAATGTGCTTTTAAAGTGTTTTCTTTCAATTTCAAGGTGTTTTCAGGTTTTCACTTTTCGGTAAGTTTTTTGTTTCATTTATTATGGATAAGTTGGACGAAATTAAAAAATTTGACGATGTAGTCGATTGGTTGCTGACAAATAATTTTATGTCTTTATCTTATGATAATAAACTTTACATTATTAAAACTCTAGGAAGGCCCCAATCAAATTTGATTTCAATTAAATCGTCGTCGATAATCGACAAAATCGAGGATTTAATATTAGTTGATACGTTAAATGCGATTGGTTAACCGGCTCCATTAAACGAGAAAAACTTTTTTGTTGGACCTGTTTTTTATTTTCCGTACAAACCGAATACCAAACGTGGTCTAAAATAGGATACTTCGATTTAAAAAATTTACCTCGTGTTATGGGGCAAATATGATTCACAATTTGGCACTTTTTTAAACGGTAGCGTTTTTTCGGGCACCGTAAAAACCATCCAAAATGAGATTATTATAGACAGTGTGGCATATATTATTAAGGAAAATATAAGCAAGGAGATTGAAAGTGTTTCTTTTTTTGCATGAGAAATTGATGAAACTACCAATATTACCTGTACATCACAACTTTCAATCGTTTTTAGATACGTCAAAGATGGTAATGTGATAGAACGTTTTATGGGTTTTCATGATGTTTCATCTGGGCGCACAGCTGACGATTTGTTTAATTATTTAATTTATATGTGTGACACCTATAATTTTAGGCCGAAGTTAATTGCGCAAACCTATGATGGGGCTACGGTCATGGTCGGCCATTTAAATGGTTTATAAATTAAAATAAAGTCCATAGCTCCTCATGCACTTTTTACGCATTGTCATGCCCATGCCCTAACTTTAGTATTAAGCAAAGCGTGCAACAACATATAAAATTTCGCGCATCCTGCGGGCTTTTCTGTGTGTATATAGTCTATATGACTTAATCCTCCCCTGTTCTCCAGTGCGCGAGCCGTCACTGATGAGCATCTCACTGGAAGAAAATTGTAAGATTTCTTGGGGATGAGTTTTCGAATTTATTGGACGGGGTTCCATATGGAACAAGTTGTGGCTACAACAAGACGGTGCAACACCACATTTTATAACTGAGGTACTGGTATACTTTAACAATCATTTCAATAAAAAATGGATAGGTAGGGGTGGGCCTGAGGCGTGGCCACCCAGATCACCTGACCTGACCAAAATGGATTTTTTATGGGGGTATATCAAATGGATTCTTTATCAAATTCCTCCAACATCTATAGAAGACTCGAAACGAAGAATCGCTAGAGCTTTCAGGGAAATCCCAGAGGATATGCTGGAACGTGTAGAGAATTCGTTTAAAAAGAGACTGACATTATGTGTTGCAGAAAATGATCGCCATTTTGAACGCCTTTTCGACTCCTCTATTCAATAGAACTTAATGAATAAAACTGGGTATAATTTGTAAAATATATGTTTTTCGTATAGTATGTACCTCGATAAAAAAATGTAGTGAAATGTTGGAACACTTCATACAAATGAAAAAATACAGGGTGTTCCATTTGAAAAAGTTGAATCATGTCTGTTTAAAAATGAATTAAACTTGACTTGTTGTCTGCAAAATTGGTTTTTCTGGAATAACTTGGAAATGCCGCAATGGAAATTCGAGAGAACTAAAAAAATATGGAGTCAAATAACGTATTCGTATACTGGGTGTTCCATTTGAAAAAATATAACTTTCGTTGGCCACACTCGGCTGAATCACCCAGTATGCGAGAAAATAATTTTGAAAGATAGTATTTATTGATATGACTGCGGAAAAAAAATTGAGCAATTCGAAAAATTATTTTAGCCATGGACCGAGGAAATATTGTGACTCAATCTGTATATGGATCATTTTGAAGAATATTTTGTTGAAACTTGCCAGAACGTTCCCAAAGTTATGGATATGGATATTGAATAAAAGAGTTTAAGAAAAAAACATTCAAAATGGCGGAAAACAATATGGTCGCCATCCTAATTTTGAAGACTTATAACTCGGCAAAGTTTGGTAGTGATCGAATAAACGTTGTAGGGACTAACCAGGCAATAATGATGCATTGATTGAAATGAACCGACTATGAGGAATATGTCTAGCGATAACTGATAATAAATAATAAATTCATTACAAAAAACATTTTCAATACAAAATGTTATGAACAGCTCTAAAAAAATTCAAACTTCAAAATGAAATTAATCCTATCGATTTACCTGTGTAGAAAGAAGAAAACATCAAGTGACTTGATCTTGTCGTGACTAATTCTAATAAGAAAATTGCTTTTTTTTGTAAAAGAGGTAAGTCTAGCCAAAATGCTTTTATGTCATTGTGTAATGTAATGAATTGATGATTTTTATTCAATTTACAGTGTGTTTTCTCTCTTTCCCTATCTAAAACTGTTCTTACAATCAATTTATTTATTATCATCCCACAGATTTAAACAACCTCAGACCATTCATTGAATATAAAAAATTAAACAAATCCAATTGTTTTTAACCTAAAATTCAACTGTTACATTTATGAATTTTTGGAAAACACCTTAAATATATATGAAATACTATGCTTGTTTACCAAGGTTGTTCACAAAGCCAGATATCAAAAATCATCGACGTAGCCGTACTTGGTAAATATTTAGAGAATAATAATTTTTTACCTAGCTCGCAAAATTGAGTCCATGCAAATTGAACCTATTGATGTTAAGCATGATGTAAAAATAATCATATATCAATTTATCAAAGTCATTTTCATCCAATACCTTACGAAAAACATAAACAGGAATACTATCAAGACAAAAATATATGAGAGAGTTTTCAATAAACTAAGTAAAATATGAGTCATTATTATCAGACAGCTGCAGAATACTATTTCAATTGAAGCCTCTATGCTATGGATTAGTAAAATCAATGTTTGGGAAATTATTTGATATTTTGAGGTAGATGAAAGCACACTGAATTAATTGTTTATAATATAAAGTATTAATAACAATAACAACTGGCCAAAACTATGATTTGAATAGAAGCATTGGGTGCTATAATCACCGACATTATAGATATTACAAACATCAATGTAAAAAAGCCCTGAACAAATTCCTGCAAAACGAAGTATTTTACTCAAAATGTATTCAAGGAAACCTATTCAACATATGCAATATATCAATTAAAATATACGAATACTTCATTCCTTTATAAGTTTCTAATTTTTGATTCTCTGTGTTTGACAAAAGAATTTCAGTGCTTTATCTGAATTTCAGATGATGCGGAACTATTAAGAGCAAGTATTTTTTTAATTATTGATGAAACAGAAGTTTCCCATTTGTAAAGAACAATTTGACAGTCACTACATGAATTACTGAAGATCTAACAAAACACAAAAGCATGTTGACTTTTACGTAGCCTTAGTTCATGCAAATTCATTCATACCGAGAATTTGATGGAATTGATGAAATAGTTGTTAATAGTTATGATAATTTTCCAATATTGTTATTTAAAAAATGTAAGTATCAATATCATTTTTCATAATAAATCTATTTAACGTAAAATCTTTTGAGACCTTCCAGGACCCAATTGATACCATAAAGATGAACTGCGTCTTCCACCGTAAAGTAATTTAATACAAGTTCATCAACATATTGAATATCAAAACGCTGATTAATGGTTTTGCCAAAGGAACGTGCTTAAAACCCTGAAGTAGCAATTGTGAACGACGGAAAGCATAATGTTGAATGTGATAGATAACTCATAGTTATGATACCATTCAACTTTATGTGATTATGTGCGAATTTACTGTTTGGTACTAATACTTCGATAAAGAAATCTGCTTCATATATTCTAGTGATGAGATAATGAAATGAAAAACATTTTTCATATGCAGCGATATAAATTGGAAACTAGCCACCGAACATTATTTCAATAATACATTTTTAAACGTCAACAGTTCTGAGAAACTTCATAAAATAGGCCAAAAATCGATTATTAATCAATGAAACGTCACAAATGTATATGATGGAATTGGCCGATACTTGATGAAAATCTTCATCGTATGCAAGAAACACTTTATTGTGAAAATCTCACAAAAAAGTGTGTTTTGAATATAAATTGATGGATATAGCGGTTACTAGGGGAGAGGGTGTATGAAAGAGTCAGTTTCAACAGATTCATATTTAGTGTATTCAACAAAATTCGGGCAACTTTCCCACCAATATATCCGAATGAATGAATAAATAAATACTTTCAAAATAACATGATACTGACAGAGTATTAATCTGAATTCAGAGAGAACCATCATGGT